TGTTATTACTCAGGCAAAGCATAATTTTTATAGCCTTCAATCTTATTTGGTTACAGAGTCATAAAATAGAAAATTAGACCCCTTTTGCCACGCCTACATGAAACATCCTCTCATTCATAACTTGCCAATAGTTCTCTCTGACATATAATATTATATCATTTATAACCAATAAAAAAATCACAGTTTTAGTCTATCAAATTATGTTTGCTTTCTGTACAGAAAATCATCCATTCCACTTCCAGTTCAAATTTTATTCCCATGAGAAACATATCAATGAGCTTAGCTGAAAATATTTCATTAAAAATTCTGATTTTTTGTCTACAAAAGACTCAATGCTCACTGAAAGCTTGCAAAATTTTGTGAAGATACACAAAACATATAAGAAGTTAAAGTATGGAAACTATAATGGTCAATTTGGGGTCACAAACTTGGGCAATTTGACTGAGCCTGTAGCTAGTGTGTTAATGAGCTCAAATTTGTAAGATGAAAATAACTTATTCAATGAAAACTGCCTATCTCCAAATAATAACTTGTTAATGGCCTTCAGTTTTAGTCTGTAGTAAAATAATCTTCTAAGACCTAGTTTTACGAAGATGAGATGAAGTATTATCTAAAATCCTTATGTTCCATTTAGTTAGTAACATATTGTTTATGTAAGCTATTAAGGCTGCCTTCATAATCATGACAATTAACAGTAGATAAAAAGATAAATGAAGACAAAACAATTTTTATGTATAAAATATGCATATTTATGTGCCAAATGTGCCAGAATTAACCTGTATGCAATTTTCTGGTGTAATGATAATTTATGTTTTTTGCAATCAATACCCTAGAAGCATCAATGAATCACAAAATTATCCAACTCTTCCAAGTTTCTGTCTGTAAAATGTGATTCCCTGATGTTTTCTAGGCCAGAAGTACAAACTATAAAGTTCACTGACTTCCCTGACTTATAAGAACATGGAAAAAGTAAAATATATAACAAAATAAGTTTAAAGTGTTTGGATATATATAAATATAACAAAATTCTAGGCAATAATAACAATAATAAAATATAATTTAATTTTACTGATCTATTTCAATAGCTTTTATCACAGTATGTCACTAATTTATGTAAAAACAAAAGAATTATGTATGATGGTATTTTAATACACACATAAGTCAGACTTTAGAAATGTTAGAAGGTTTTATGAATAAAGTGGAAAAAAGAAAGAAGAAGAAGAGGCAGGCATTTTGTCAATATAAAAGCATTTCACAAAAAAAATCACCATTAAACTTTAAAGTTAGTTATTGTAACTTCTTAAAAAAATAAATAGTTTAGCACAGTGAAAAGTAGTCATGTATAAAAACCCCGATTGTAAAACCATCAATGACAACTAGATAAAAATAATTTTAGGTCTCGAAAAGAATTACATATAGACACACATACACAGAGTAAACATTGGGTCTTACTTCGGTGCATGTCAGATGAATGAGTACACAAAAAGCAGGCATTAATATCATCTGGAGAAATGCACCTGTAGGTCCATATGTACATGTTTGAAATTTATTTATGATCTTTTTTTTCGTGGCTTCCACACTTTCATCATCAGACGTCTTGAATTTTGAAGTAGCAGCAGTCTCTAAATCTTCTGAAGTTACCTATAAAATATGGACAAAACATTTTAAGAAACACATCTGTAATTCTTGTTGTTACACTTCACAAAACAGTTTATCAAATATATTTGCAAAAATGTATTTTATACATATTACTTTTTTCAGTTGTTCTTCAAAGTATTGTACAAGAAAAATAAAATATTATTTTAAAACATGTATAGTAGTAATTCACAGTGAAAATAAAAAGTTAAAATATTTATCTCTTGGCAAGAACTCTGCACTTCATAGCTGGCCTGACCACAAACTATAACAACTCATACTTTTGCAAGATGTGACAGCATTATCATATATTTTTTAATACATACATAGAAATTGGTATTTTTTTTAACATCATTGATATTTTTTTTATTTGTCTTGTAAAAACATTTCTACATACATAAGTACTTTAAGCTATTACAAAAAGCTAAATTCCCAATATTAGTCCCAATTTTGGAATTTTGGCTTCCAGTTTATTTTAAATAAAAAAAACCAATTGAAGAGGAATTTTCAGGATATACAATTTCATTTCAAAGAGCCCTGACCAGTTTTTTTTCTCTATATCGGTTTTGTCCATCTAAACAATTTTTCAAGATACTTTTCTATTTAATGGTCACTCAGTTATGTTCTTAACTTATTTCTATCTCTTCAAATAAGTTGATCCAGAGGAAAAAAAGTCATTTCAACAGCTGACCTAAATAAATGTATAGCAACCTGGCTTCAAGTTAACCCTTTAAAGAACTTTAAAATATTAATGAAGTTTAATGAGAATATCAGTCTAAAGGTGCCCTGTCCAATAAACCTTGATAATCAAACACATCTTAAAATCTAATAGTTTAATCATTTTTAGTAATTTTGAATGCAAAACTTTAAAATTTAAAATGTGTAAAACAACTGTCAACAAAATATAAAACATACCTGATAGGTCGGTAAAAAAAAACTAACACAAGCAGAAATGTTTACAGTTAGGGCTAACACTGTAGATTACAAAACCCACTTTGCAAACACAGAAAACTGCAAGTAATAACCAAATGAAGCTTCCCCACAAATATTATACTCATCAATAATATCAGTATACAATAGCAAGAATATGTGGAAGTATCAATACTGAAAATACATTAGAGCTTTGACCCGCACACTACAGGCAAGTTGCGTAAGTAAGGCCTCCAATGAAAGCAGAGAAAATCCAATAATACCATAAATAGTCATCAGAAAGAACATTGCAGCAATGAGAACAGCACGACCATCAACAACAACCAAAAAAATACAGTCTAACTTAGGGTAGAAAGACAGAATTTATGTAACATCCATCGGTGCATGTGCAATGAGTAATGTAAAAGGTGGGAAAGTATAGCATTATGGGTAAGTGACATATATTGTATACAAGTATATAAAGGAGAGTTGGAAATTTTGAGCCACATGTTTTATTGACAATATGAGTTCAAACTCAACAAGGAAAACTTGTATTTACAAGTATTTAAAAGGTAAGTCCAAGTTATTTGAGTTCATCAATTTCATCTGTAAAAAAATTCCAATTACAAGTCTTCTCCCACTATATCCTCAAGTTAAACAGGATATAACTCACATTTTACAAATAAAGCCACTCCTCTATTTTAGTACTATTTCTATTACACAACCTATAACCCTATATTTCAAAGAAGTTTATCATCAAAATCATTACATCTAACCAACTTTCA